AGTTCTCATGGTTCAGCTCCTCTGTCTTCTGAGTTTTCTGGTTCTGTTTTTACAGGTCAGGATCACTGGAAGAGGCAGAGCGGCAGCCAGCAGAACCCAGATGGTGGATGTGCGTCCACTTCTATTATAACAATATACTTATAACAAGTGACCTCTGACATTGATTATTTATATTATTTAATAAAAAACAACAACTGTTTTTGATATTTGAAATATTCCAGTGACAGGCCGCTCCAGATCCAGTCAGAGAGTCGGAGAGTTGAGTCTCAGCAGCAGGGGGTCATACATCGTTGAGTGGAGGTGGAGTGGCTTGGGATCGGACGGCCCAAGAGAACAGGAGGACAGTTGTGGCCTCTGGAGTTTGTCCGGGTCCGACAGCCTCCGAGAGATGATGTGTCCCCCGCTGCCAGGTCAGGTTCCTGTGGAGCCAGCAGTGACTTCTAATGGCCTGATAGCTCAGGGTGCCGTGGAGGCGTCTCCTGCCAACAAGAGCTCAACCGGTGAGATTGAAATAGGAGTGAGGGGTGTAAAGTGTACTGATTTTGCTATTTTATGCATAAGACTACTTCAAGTATTTAACAGGTTAATCTCTAGTCATATTTACCGTTGCTCAGCATAATTTAGCTAACGTTAAAATGTTCTTTTTGTTTCCATAATGTTTGCAAAATTATAAAACAGAATGTTCCCTTAACATTTGCAATTGCAAGAATTTTTTTAATACTCAATACTAAATATTGTGAAATAAGACTTTGGGACATTTATGCAGGCATTAGGCAGAAGCAAGGCCGTCGTATAACATTAGCATTACTTGGATTTGTAATATTACAGATAAGAATCGAACAGTAAAGTGTAATTTTGTCATTGTTTAATTTGAGGTCAGAGATGTTGTCTTTTCAATATTTTTTTTCTACATTTCAGAATATAGGAAGAAGAAAGGACTTTGTGGTTTCCTCAGGAGGGTGTGGAAGGCTATGAAACGGCATTTCGGCTGCCGTTGTCACTGCAGTGCTGTGAATGTTGTGGAGCCTTTCATCCCTCCACCAGATCTGGACCCAGAGCCTGACCCAGATCACTCAGCCGTCAAGCACAATCATGGTAAATCTACAGTCATTATTTCTTGATCATTATTTTAAACAGTATTGTTGTCTTGTATTCCACTAAAATATCTTAAGGCTTGTTTTCGGAGAATAATATTATTCTCCCCATATTATTGTCATAAAAGGTAACTACAGGGGTTAAGATTAGGTTTAGGTGAAGGTGCGTATCAAGTACCCAGTTATTGTAATAACTTTAATAAGTACATGGGGAACAGGACTGTGAAATAAAGTGCTACCGGTAACACTTTATTTTAAGGTGACGTAGTTACAAATTAGTACATAATCTACTTACTAAAGTATAGTAAATTATGCATACTTAACTAATCCTAACCTTAACTCTATTGTAAGTACATGTAGTCAATTAATATTACTTATCTGAGTCAGTAACCTTTTATTGTTATTTTCAAAGGATCTAGCGAGCTTATTTATTTATAATAATTTTCTTTTTTTCAGAGTCCTTTGCTTCTCTCTTCGAGGTAGGAGAGATGATTGGGTCCGGGGGATTTGGCAAGGTGTACGAGGGAATACGGAAATTTGATGGCAAAAAGGTAAATATTACCGAACTGTAGAAACATTTTTGCAAAACACATTTAAGTACAATTTACAGATCATGGTTTGATACCTAGTGCAAGGTCAGGTCCCTGAATAGATACTGTTACTGTTAATGAAACATTTTTTGTTTGTTTTTTTGCAGGTTGCCATCAAGCAGATCAGCAAGATTGACAACAATCGTTATCTTGCTATAGTAAGTTGTTGAATGTGTATTTAGTTGTTTAAGTGCTGATTACTGTAGTCAATACACCTGTAGGAAGCATTCGCTGTACATGTTACAGACAAGTAAGCCTAGAAGCACCAAATAACTTCAAGCTGAAAAGGCTCTGTATCTACAGAGGTCAAAGAAAAGTACATTAAAAAATGAGATTTGTACCTAGCTAATCTTCTCTCTTCTACTTTTCTCTAGCCTGGGCATCCCGAACCTCTCGTAACAGAAGTGGCGCTGCTTCTTATGATGAGGCAAGAACCCAGAAGCCCCCACGTCATACAGCTGTACGAGTGGTTTGAACACCCTCGAAATTTCACTCTCGTCATGGAGTACCCCGAACCTTGTGAGAGCTTGTTGGACTTAATGCACCGTAGCTTTGAACTTGATGAACCAGCGGCACGGGTCAACATGAGACAGGCTGTGCTGGCAGTACAACACTGCATCGAACATGGCGTCTTTCATAATGACATTCATCCGGGAAACTTCCTGATCAACAAAAACACGCTAGAGCTCAAGCTGGTTGACTTTGGGTGCGGTCAGCTTCTCAGTAGTGACGGCTACGAGAGCAGAGTATACTTTGGTGAGCATTTTGGCAGTGTGGAAACCTGAATGTAGTGACCTACTGATTATTTGACACTTTGGAAAAACAAAAAAGCTCAACAACTCGCGAATGTCTTGCTTACAGGATTAAGAACTTACTACCCACCTGAAGTCTTCACGGATAGGAGATTCCACGCCGTCCCAACAAATGCCTGGGCTCTAGGCGTGTTGTTATATGAGATGACGAACGCATGTCCTCCTTTTATCAGTAGAAAGGAACTCACACAAGGCAAAGTTGTATTTGTGAACCCCAACTTATCCAAAGGTGAGTGAATAATATTGAAATCTTTGATAAGCACACACATAAAGCAACGGCTCTGTACAGAAACAGTTAAAGGTGAAGTAAGATTTTTCTGAACCAGTAAGAGTTGCCTTTGTGATGTTTGAGGCGTGAAGCATGCATCCCTTTGATGCAGAAACTCTATACTTCACCTTTAAAGATAAAGATAAAGAACTTGTTACCTTACATTAATCATGTTTAGATGCCAAGTCACATGCTCATCATGACTAACCAGCTCTCTTCTTATTAATATTGGTACAGAATGCCGTGATCTGATTAGCCAGTGCCTTACAAAGGATCCAACTAAACGGCCGACGTTAGATCAGATCTTACAGCATAAATGGCTTAGAGAATGATCTTCTTGTAGATTGGACAAGTTCAGGAGATTTCAGGTGTGAGGAAGTAGAACAGTCAGACAGAGTAGGATTGTTCTCATTTATCATTTATCTATTTTCAAATATGTGGAGTGAACAGAGTTTATTTTAATGTTGTTGTCATATAGTCACTTTCTTTTATATAGCGCTTTATACAGTACAGATTGTTTCATGCAGCTTCATGATATTAAACAGGAAAATAACAGAATCAGTGATGCAAACAGAATTCAATTCTGCTGTAAAAACTTTTATGTGTTGACATGTTCTTATAATCTTTGTTTTGGACAGGAAATAACAAACTTGCTGTCCTTGGTGGAGGGCTTGAGCTCGTGACGTGACCCGAAGCTCGAAATCCAACTCGCCAGGGAACTCACGCCGCCACACCAGAGAGCTCAGAGCCTGGCAACACGGGGGATCTTGCGGACAATAAATCAATCAAGAAAAATTTGGGATGTGCGGAGTGGAGCGGTTCAAAAGCCACACTTATTGTATAAGCTCCGCTTATTATCGCTCGGCGCTTAACGCAGTTTGCTTCGCGCTCCACTCAAATCGCCCCTCCTGCTCGCTCCAAAAAAGGAAAAAAAATCTGCATAAATTTGTATTTCAAAGAACTAAACGCCAACAACAACATTTTCCAAACAGAAATGTTTCATTTCAAATTACATATTAGGACTAGCCTATGTAAAAACAGGAATGTAGCCTACACAAAAAGTCCTGTAAAATTAAACGAATAAATGGGCCTAATAATATGAATTTAAAATTGTATAAACAAAAATATACATAAAAGTTTTAAAAAGTAAATTAACTATAGGCCTGAATTTTGATAACTGAACTTTTGCTCAACGCGCACGATAAAAATTTAAATTGACTTATAACCATTGTACATACAAACTACTGTAAAATTAAACGAATTTGGACCAGTTTGGCATCGAACAACCAGCCGAACAACTTTTAAAAAAACTTTTGCTGATAATTTACTCACCCCCATGTCATGTCATCCAAGATGTCCATGTCTTTCTTTCTTCAGTCGAAAAGAAATTTTTGGTTTTTTGCTTTAAACGATTCCAGACGAATAAGCGTCTTATCAAGTGAAACGATCGCTCATTTAATAAATAAATAACAAACTTTAAGTTTTATAAGCTCGAATGCTCGCCTTGCTCTGTTCTTTGACGCACATTGTGACTCTCCTGTTCGAACTCAAAACGAACAAATCTTTTTCCGAGTTCATTCAACGAACGAATTGACTTGGAAAAAAATTCGTTCATTTTGATGCATTTTGATGTGAGCATTTGAGCTTATAAAACTTAAACTTTGTTATTTTTTTTTTAAATGAGCGATCGTTTCGCTTGATAAGACCCTTATTCATCATCTGGAATTGTTTAAAGCCCTTTAAACAGTTTGCATTTTGCACTGAAAATGTCTTTTGGACCTTGAACCGTTTGGTTCCCATTGAAGTCCATTATATGAAGAAAAATGCTGGAATGTTTTAATCAAAAACCTTAATTTCTTTTTGACTGAAGAAAGAAAGACATGGACATCTTGGATGACATGGGGGTGAGTAAATTATCAGCAAAAGTTTTTTTAAAAGTGAACTACTTTAAAAATGATATCACAGTTTCTGTATTATATAATATAATATAATATAATAAGTTGTCCCCCGAAGAGGGGGGAGGTGGAGGTGGGGAAAAAAAATTAAACGAATAAATGGGCCTAATAATATAACCAAAAATGATATAAACAAAAATGTAAAAAAGATATATACATAAATGTTTAAAAGTAATTCATTATTAGGTCAGATTTCGATAAGCCTAACTGAACTTTTGTGCAGCGCACACTAATAAAATTTAAGTTGGCTTAGGCCTAAATCAGTTGTACACAAAAAAAAGCTGTAAAATTAAACGAATCAATGCGCCTAATTATATAAATAAAAATTTGGCTATAGGCCTACATCAAAGTGTTAAATTAAAGAGTAAATTAACTATTAGGCCACCAGACTTATATCTATCTGAACTTTTGCGCAGAGAGAGCATGGATAACAGTTTAAATTGCGCTCTGTCCAAGATCCGCCTGCTCGTGCTCCCCGCTTGCTCGCGCTCCACTCCGCTCACATTCTCTGGATCCTAAAGTTAAGCCAAAGGGTGTACAAACACACTGTAGGGTTACAAATGTATTAAAATCTAGATTTCCCATACCAAAGAAGTGTAGTAGTGTGAATTATTTTAACTAAGGTAAATGTCACAAACCTGTCCTGATCTTTCTATTGCAAGTTAAATTGATACCATCACCTTGTGTTTATTAGGTTACCACCACAAGGGCTGGAGAAAGAGGGGACTGTGTTATTCCTCTCAGAAAAAGTCAATTTAGATGCTCTGTATTTTCAGTGTTAGCTACAAGGGAATAGAACTCCATCAATAATTAGAAGACTGGATATACATATGGTTATTTTAAGTTTCATCTAAAGACAAAAAAATGTCAGTCTTGAAGCTTATTTGAAGAGTTCACAGGTTTTATCATCATTATTTACTCCAAAGTCATATGCCTACCACTATTTTTACAGTGGGACACAGTTTTGGGATTGCCTGGTTCAACCAGACTCTCGTACATTTCATTTGTACAGAGAGTCGGGCATCTCTCGTTGAGAAACGTTTACTTCCTTGTAGGCGGGTTCTCTGTTAAAGTTCAAAACTACTGGATCTGCCTAGAGTCACTCAGGATCTCCCATAGCCAATCGCTAACGTGTGGTCGGCCGGAAACAACAAGTCCGAATGATCAGACTCACCAGCAATATACTGTAATTATACGCTATTACTTCACAGCCATTTATTGTAAAAATAAATGCAGTACATGTTGTATGTGATTATTACAATTTACAATACACTCTAAAATGTGTAATGTACACATTTTTGTAAAAACAACACACAGGAAATTACTACAGTAAAAACACAGGCAGTTATAGGCTGGTGAACATTTATTTTCAACGCATTCTCATCCTAGGGCGTCATGTAGGTGACGCTTTTGACATGGCACCCTTTAGCGTCAATAGCCTATAACATGCTTCGGTTATGAGTAGGTTTAGGTCTGGTGTAGTGTTAGGGTTAGACCACTATGAGGCGCCTTCTAGCCCATATGGTCCTTCTCAAAAAATTAGCATATTGTGATAAAGTTCATTCTTTTCCATAATGTAATGATAAAAATTAAACTTTCATATATTTTACATTCATTGCACACCAACTGAAATACTTCAGGTCTTTTATTGTTTTGGCATACAGCTCATGAAAACCCAAAATTCCTATCTCAAAAAAATTGGCATATTTCATCCGACCAATAAAAGAAGTGTTTTTAATACAAAACAAAAGTCAAACTTCAAATAATTATGTGCAGTTATGCACTCAATACTTGGTCGGGAATCCTTTTGCAGAAATGACTGCTTCTATGCGGCATGGCATGGAGGCAATCAGCATGTGGCACTGCTGAGGTGTTATGGGGGCCCAGGATGCTTCGATAGCAGCCTTAAAGGAAAACGCACTGTTTTTTGAAATATGCTTATTCTCATTCTTTCCTACATTTAGATATGCGTGCAAATGCATTTTTGTCTCAGTGCATGCATTGTTTTAGTTTGACAGGGTCGGCGCTAGCTTAGCTTAGCACAATAAATGGAATCCTTTGTTGCCAGCTAGCATAGCAGCTAGCTAGACTTGATGTTCATTTTAGGGAGTACTATCCCTTTAACTGCAGTTTGTCTGTGGCCAGTGAGGATCCCAGGCAATAAAGAGCAGCCTTGCGTAAAATGCGGAACTTATGCCTGCATATAGCCTATTGTAATTGCTACTAGTAGTCTACTAATTGAATTGTAAAGCCCTAATTGAATTACTAGTAAAAATTAAATTACGAATCTGGGTACAATTTGCAAAGACGGCTTGCCATACTGGTTGCGTCATGTGCGTTTCCACGGAGACCATGACTGCTTGGCGTTCTTAGCAAGGTGAGTGCATCTTTACAAATAAGTATTCAAATGACTTCACTTCAGACTTGGTAAATAAAATGTAATGTGCCGTGTTCCGGAAAATTCGGTTCCCCTGTTTTCCCTTCAGCGCGCGTGCGCGCGCAACAGCAAGACGAGAATCTCAGCCTCAATCTCAATCTAACATGCTTCGGGCTTCTGGACAATCTGAGGTCTGGTATTAGCCTAGAAATCTAGACGCACCCTAGCGGCAGCAAAAATTATTTTGCAGCAAAGTGTGCATCAAGATGTATCTAACATCTTGATGTAGGTCTGGCATGCCAGGCTAGTCTGGTATGATTTTACTGATGAGGCGAAATTCAACCAGTACGGATGGCGATGCTCAACGAAATAAGACTCTTATTCAAATGCAACCCTCATCGGTAACTGGTCGGAAGAGAGGTTTGACACTCACCGGGCTGTGGCGTTACGGCGCCCCCTTCCGCACCAGGTTGGTTTTGTTAGGTAAAAACCATGATAAAAATCATAGACATACAGACAAGGTGCCTAATTCCAGACTAAAATGAATGTTTGAGCTGATTTAACTGAAAGAAACTGGCACTGACATATCATAAATATGTCAGTGTCATATATCAAGTTGCACATATTTGTTCTTTTAGTTCTCATAGCCTATATATAAAATTTACTTCAGTGCCCTATGCCTAATCCTGCGCTTAATCCCTGTCCGTGAAACCAACACATATTCACCTAAGTCACGTTTAAAATGTTTGGATTTCATTGCTTTAGATAGGCTAAGTATAAAACAATAATGAGTTGTTAGGTGTGGTTAATCATAAACTATGAAGATGTTCCACTAAAAAGGGCACATCATTTTCACCTTCATTTAGAACATTGAACATCGATTGTTTAATCATTTTAAAACTTATAATTTTGGATGTGAAAACTATCTTTATTTAAAATGAATGATAGCCTACTTGGTTTGCTATTTGTGACATGCATTTTTAACTGTTGCATAAAGGGATAAATGAATTTTTTGTCATGAATTACTCCTTATGTCATTCCAAACCCATGAGGCTTTCGTTCATCTTCGAAACACAAATGAAGATCTTTTCGATGAAATCTGAGAGTTTTCTATTCCTCTGCTGACAGCTAAGCAACTACCACTTTGACACTTAAAAAAGTTCATAAAGAGGTTATAAAAAACTAACGTATGAATTAAGCGATTTAGTCCAAATCTTCTATTTTGTGCTCAATGGTGAAATAACACTGAATTTGTTCCCCCTCACAGTTCTCTCACTATTTTGAAACCACATATTATTCCAGCTATAATAAACCTAATGTTCAGCCGATTTTCCACTTTATCAGCACCAAAGAGAGAGTCAAGAAGCTTCCCTGGCCACCAACCAGAACTGAACCCTCCACACACTAAGTGTGTGCCAAACTCCTGCAACAGACTGGACTTCACAGGCCCTCAACATAGAGAAGAAAAGACTGAGGAGACTTCAGAGCCACAGTGCGGATAACAACCCTGCTTACAAAATGAAATCAGCTTCAATATCACTGACTTCTGTGAGTGATCCATAGTCAAGTATTGATTTGTTGAATTTTTCTGAAGCATGTGTCTATTTTTTTATTTTTTATTTTTCTAACCCATGATTTTGAGGTTAGATCTTATTGCACTTGCTTATTTACCTCGATTCATGGTGTAAAGTCAATAATTTTAGTAAGCACCTATACTTGAGTTTAAAATGAGTTTAAAATTTCAACATACTGTATTTTTTAGTGGCATATCAAATATCTTCCATCCTGATACATTCTAAAATATTTGATCATTTTGACATGTATTAACATTTAAAGATAACTGTGTAAAAAAGATGACCAGCCATGCATGAGAAAGTCTACCAAGATTATCCTTATCAATGGATTTTCTTTTCTTTTCTTTTTTAATATTTGTGAGAATCCAGTAAATCTCACGTGTTTAATTCAGCAATTTGGTGCATACTGTATATCATTTGCTTCCATTCACTGAATTGTTTATTGTATACATCAGCAGTACTCTCTAGATATCATTATTATTATTATTATTATTATTATGGGGGTTGAAAACCACAGATGACTACTAATATTTTGTCAAATAGTTTGTTGAAAAAACTAATTTTGAAAAAAATAAGTCACACTGGTTTTGAAGTCCACAATATTTATTAATTCATATTTCGTGATGTTAATAAGTTAATTCAGTGTGTTAGCTGTGATTAATAAGGAATGTAAGCCATAAACAGAGCAAAGCCATGTTTTAAAAAGCTTCTCAATTATACCACCTATTGGGGATAATACAGTAGTTTAGGCATTTTCTTTATTGAGGTGTTTATTGAGGTTTTCTACATCCTCGTCAGAGCCTGCTTATGTTAGTTTTCCATATCAAAAAATGACTGATCTAGTTTGCTATTAGCAGCTTTGCCGTTGTTGAATGAGTGAGCCATAAGAAACCAAATAGTCTCAGTGACTGCAAACAATATAAATTCTTGGCACTTATTCACACTCACAAACACCCAGCTCACATCTCATTCTCAAATTATTTTGGGAAACAAGAGATATTTGAACTTTTAGACAACATGCTTTCAAAACCTTGCATTAATAAACGTTATATGATCCATTCCCACCACATAGGATGATCATTTTATTTTTTTTATTTTTTTTTGTTCTTGGCAACATGTCACCATATATCATGCTAACCATGCTGTTTAACAGTATACATCATTATTTTATATTTATTTATTTATTTTTATTTGAAAGAGGTTAGAACTCCATTTGAGCCTGGGTTTTAAAGATCTGCTCCTGCTATTGTCATGAGAAAGCTATGTAATTATTTTTTGTTTAAAATAATATCAATCCTCCTCTCAAAACTTTTTTTTCTGTCTTACCCCAATTCACTGTGGTAAGCCTATTGTTTTAGACCGGTCAAGATGGTTTGTGTACCAATGAAATTGCGTACATATGCCACTTGCCTGTGCGTGTCTATCCGTAAATGGATAACAGTTCCTCCGGGTTTTTTGATGCATGAATGGTGTGGGAGTGGCGTAGGTTAGTTGTCACTGAGCAGAAACGTTAACAGGGAGCAGCTAAATCTCCAAACTCCAGAGAAACACTCATTAAAATTTTTTTTTTTAAAAAAGCTCATAATAAAACCAGAATCAACATTGGGTTTTGTTGGAGATGGCGAGAACTAAGGTATTTGAAATGTTAAGTGACGAAGAGATGGCGTTTTTATTAATCAACAGGTGAGCAAGGTATTTTATTGAACAGATAAACTGCCGTTTGTACAGTAGCTCTCTAACAGAGTTCACATTAATCCGCATAGTCACGCAGAGCTGAAGCACAACCAAAACAATGTTTCTCTGCAAAATGCATGCGAGTTTTGTTTTTTTAACAGCTAGAGGGCCAAAAGTTACATAGATTATCTTTAAAATGTGAAGCAATGGCCATGCATGTGCCATCAACACTTACAAATCAGGTCCAATCAATGAAATACCGTCACTTTTCAAGAACTTTTCTTTTCCACATCCCCTTAAAGGATTAGTTCACTTTTGAAAAAACTTTTGCTGATAAATTACTCACCCCCATGTCATCCAAGATGTCCATGTCTTTCTTTCCTCAGTCGAAAAGAAATTAAGGTTTTTGATGAAAACATTCCAGGATTTTTCTCCTTATAATAGACTTCAATGGGAACCAGGTCCAACCGAGGTCCAAACGACAGTTAATAACAGTTTCAGATGCAGCTTCAAATGTCTTTAAACGACACCAAACGATGAATATGGGTCTTATCATGCGAAACCGATCGGTTATTTCAAAGCTTATTCCAAAAATGTAACTTTTCTAAGGACAAATGCTAGCCTTGTAATATATTGTGAGGCGCGTTTGCAACGTCACGTAATACGCAATTACGTTCAAAAGGTCACGGGCGACGTAGCCGGAAGTACAGAATCAAAATCGTCCGACATCGTTGTTTTACCTTTTAATTCCTTTTTTGTAAACGGCGTTTGAGTTAGTTTTCACGATCAACCTATGTGTTCAACACTGACTCTGTACTTCTGGCTACGTCGCCCGTGACCTTTTGAACGTAATTACGTATTTACGTGACGTTGCAAACGCGCCTCACAGAATGGAGAAAGGCTAGCATTTGTCCCTAGAAAAGTTACATTTTTGGAATAAGCTTTGAAATAACCGATCGTTTCGCATGATAAGACCCTTATTCATCGTCTGGTGTCGTTTAAAGACATTTGAAGCTGCATCTGTAACTGTTATAACTGTCGTTTGGACCTCGGTTGGACCTGGTTCCCATGGAAGTCCATTATTAGGAGAAAAATCCTGGAATGTTTTCATCAAAAACCTTAATTTCTTTTCGACTGAGGAAAGAAAGACATGGACATCTTGGATGACATGGGGGTGAGTAAATTATCAGCAAAAGTTTTTTCAAAAGTGAACTAATCCTTTAAGGCCGATTCGTACCGCACAGACAAACGCCAATAAACATATTGATAGTTGGGTGTAGAATTGTATGTAAAATAACTGCCATGTTCACAAACAAATGCTGATTGAACATGTTCGGTCGGGTGAAAACAAACCCCAACAGACGCCAACACAATGATCAGACAAAACCCAAATGTGTTTGTCTGTGAGGCACAGTCTCATGAAGATGCGTATCTATACCACGAATGTCATTTCTCATGGCATTTATACGCCAAAAATGTTTTTTTTGTATACTATACCCCAAAAAACCCTGGGGTATAGTGGGGAGGGGGGTGGGGATTTCGTGCGTATTATACGCCAAAAAGTGCGTATCATATGCACGTGAAAAACGCGTCCCATATACAGGCAAAAACTGTTTTTGACGTATAAATGCCACGAGAAATGACATTCGTGCTATAGATACGAACTTTCATGAGATCGGGCTCCAATTAGCCTTTATGTGTATACTCTGGTCCTGAATCCATTATTAACTCAAAAATAAACTTTACTTCAAACAACAACAAAACAATTATGATATCTGGATGTAACAAATAATTTTAACGTACATTGATTGAACAGATTAATTTTTTTCACCCTTTTAAATAGGTGTGCAGTGAATCACACATAATGATTTTTTTTTTTTGTCATCTCAGTTTAACACAATGACCTATTATTGCCTGTTTGTCTTTGTTCCAATCCAAAAATTCCAATGACAAATGCTCCTCCTACTCTCAAACACTTTGTCTTGCAGTCAAGCCTGCAAGATAATATACAAAAGCCTCTTTGTGGCGTCAGCAGCAAACAATACTTTATTGTAAAACTGTACTTCTCTGAAAATCGTTTATCATTTTGAGACTGTTTACAGTTTTGATGTTGATGGATTTTCAGCCTAATATCTGTTTGTTTCTCTTGCAGCCTTAGCAAAGTCAACATAACCATTTTGGCCTGTCAGTAAGTTATTCCCTTGTAATTTAGCAGGAGCACAATGGGACAGGGGAAGACAAGGGACATAACATGGAAGTCTAGCAGCTTTACTTCTTCTGAGGCCCAGCCAGGGTGGGCTTGTCATCACGGGTGATAGGAATGGTGCGCTCCGGGCCGTCCGAGTGCTTGCGTGGGGCTGTCACCGTCAGAACGCCATCTGAAGACACGGAAGAAGTGATAGAGGCTGGATCCACACCAGCAGGGACACGGTATTTTCTTAAAAATTCCCGGGAGACAAAACCGTGATCGTCCTGAAATGAAAGCACAACGTCGTTATGAGCAGGTGATGACAAATGGTCCATCTTTCACTCTTTAACTCAATGTTTACTTGTGGCACAAGGCCAGTGATCTTGGTGATGACATGTGGATTTTAAACAATAAAGCCAGTCACATGGCACTGGTTTAGGTATTGCGTCGCAGTACTACCTGACGATCCTCATGTTTAGCGTGAATTTCAATGAAATCTCCATTGACTTTCACTGACAGCTCATCTGGTGAAAAGTGTTTGACATCCAGATGTAGAATGAATCGATCTTTTTCCATAGTCATCTAAGGAAACAAAGACACTAATTTTATAATTTGTCTCAGCTAATCTGATGTTCCCAATTATTTAAAAAAAAAACAAATAATATATATATATATATATATATATATATATACTGTTTATTTTTCAGACCATTTCAGATGTTTTGTTTTCAACATTACAATATTACAGAATCTCCAATATAAAATCTTAATAGTTTCACATAACAGGCTTCACAGATTTTTAGGGTGAAATACTGTAACTCATGCACAGCAGCCAAACAAAATATAAAGTTAATGATTTAAGGGTCAAGAGCCCAAATAAAGTGAACACTGATCACCTTAAAATGATGTTTTTCTCCTTTAGTGGTTCTGCTTGTTCAATAATGCTCAATTATCACTCAATTATTCACTTAATCATCTCATTAACTTTAACACTGCTTCAGTGTTCATTTATCGCTCTGCTCAGAGCTTATATAACTATCGGAGATGAAAACCCTTCAGGTTGATACAAGCCCTTCCACTTTGTGTCTGGGTCCTGGTCACCCAGTTTATTTTGCAATAGTGACTTAACAAATTAGACATTCTTTCAACTATAGTAATTTTAATGTTACACACTTAATTAACCACAAAGTTTTTTTAAAAAAAAATGGACTGGGAAGGTTTCCAGCTCACCTCAGAAAGGCCACCGCTCACCCAGCTTGGCCAGCGCTGAAAGAAAGGTCGTGGGTAGTACAGTGAGGGAATCACATCGGTCTCAGAGACGGGCTCCCCAAAGTGCTGGTCAAAGACTCGGTTGGATAAAAAGGATGGCCAGAAGGAGCGACGGAACCATGGATGATGGATGGCGATGTCCATTTTGTGTCTGGGTCTTAGCAGCACTCAGAAAACTGCTGGCTCTTATGCCTGCGCACTTAAATAGAGCGACACCGACGGCCCCTGGCAGACGAGCCAGCTGTGGATCTTTCTGGAATAATGATGTAAACTGTTTGCCTGCCTTTGCCTCTTTCACTTCGGCCCTCCCACTGTCCTCTGCTTGCTACCCCGTCCCCTCTTTCAACCATCTCTCACTGCAGTTATCTAAAGAGCTTATCAGATTTCAATTCACTCAGATACCAACTGGATTACAGTGCAAGCCCCGAATAGTGCTGATGGTACCCTGTGTTCACAGCACTGGAAACTGCACTGTCTGTTCCAGCAAACATGCCATTATCAAGAGAAGTCTTTGGTTGCTCGCCATTCCGCTGGTCTGTTTAATGCCAGCAAAGATTAGGATGCCCCAGAGGTGATGTGCCCATGCATATTTAGGTTCTGAGCCCAATTGGGGGTTTAGTCTTTACAGGATTTGACAGTGAATGCGGCTGAGATAACTGTGCCAGGCTAAACACCATACAAAGTCAATCCCCATGAACAACCGCCTGCCTGGACAACGTACGCGGACAACGTTACTTGAGCTTGCACGCTGATTGGACAATCATTTTGAAGGTGTAAGCAGTTTTAGCTACTGTGCTGTAAGTGAATGTTCTCTAAACATAGGCAAAGGATTGTAGTTATACATTTTCTGCCCATTTTGCGGAGGTGGTTCCCTTTTTTGTTCCTTGGACTTACTTTAAAGGGTTAGTTCACCCAAAAATGAAAATTAAGTCATTAATTACTCACCCCCATGCTGTACCAACCCCGTAAGACCTTCGTTCGTCTTCGGAACACAAATGAAGATATTTTTGATTAAATTTGAGAGCTGTATAACTACCACATTGGCTCCTAAGGGACTGCCTCTTGACGGCCCAGAAAGTCAATGAAGAAAATGTTTAAATATCCCAAGTGACTACCGTGGCTCAACTATATGTTTATCAAGCGACGCGAATACTTTTTGTGCGAAAAAACAAACAAAAATAACGAGTTTATTCGACTATTTCTTTTCTTCCTTGTAGGCCAGAAACGAGATTTCCTTAGATTTCCACGACGCATGCGCGAGAATTGCGATCTGAAGTGGTGTAAGCAGATAGCAATTCTCGTGCATGCGTCGTGGAAATCTAAGGAAATCTCGTCGATCTCACCGGACTCCCTCTGTACGTCGACTCCACCGAGGTCAGACATTGCTTCACCTCCTCTGAGGACTTGCGGACCTTCCACTGCTCTCTGGTCCTCCACATTTCTTATTGTTAACAGTGTTGAAAACACATGTTCTGCTTAATTTTTTTTTTTGGAGGAAACCATAATATTTTGTTTTGAATGATTCTTTAACACTTTCACGGTAAGAGGACACTAGAGTGGAGAGCTATATTAAAAAAGCCTTTTTCTTGCGCATGCATGGGTTTTGATGGCTTATGCCAAGTTCACACTACAGGATTTTAAGCCCGATTTGCAAATCGTTGAGCTCGCTGACATGTCAGGGTGTTATCGCGTGCAAATCGCGGGGGATTAGCGGGCGATGAACGCTTGCCAATCTGTTAGTATGAAAGAGCCAACAACGTAGCGAAGACGCTCGCAGACGCCTCGCAGATGCGTCGCCAAGCCCAGAAAAATATCTAGCATGCTAGATATCCAGAGCTGTCACGCGACTCAACCTCAGTGATGTCATGAGTACAGCCAATCATAGCAATGCATGGGTTGAGGTCACCGGGTAAATCTTATTTTTTCTTTTTTTTGCATTTTTTGTCAGAGCAGATCGTCGCGCAAACAGTGTGCAGCACTAGTTTCTGTCTGACGTCCATATTCACGTGTTGTGTTCTCTTCTTCGCTGGGTATTGGCGCATATGCTGTTTCACATCAATTCTGGTTTGTTTTATTGCGTGGTTTTTCGTGACAAAACGTGGTTTGTAGACAAGATAGAATCGTTGGGTGACAGAGTTGTTGTCAACTAGTTATTTATTTGATTATTTTCAGGATTTAGACCGTACCATAGTACTAAAACAGCTATCAGAGTCACAAATGATCATCCGATCGTGGTTGTGTCTCTATGTAGTGCGTTGTCAACTCGTGTAGTGCGTTACCTCCTGTTGTGGATCAATCACGTTCTGTTGTGTGGTGTGAACAGCTAAACAACTTCAACACTCCTGATTTTACAGAGAGTAAGTCATGTAGTGAACCGCACAGTTCAGCCCGACGTTTTAAAATCATGTGTGAACGAGGCTTAAGGTGCACATCAACCAGTACAGTGGACACTATGCGTCATCCTGTACACTGCCACCAAGTGGAAAACCAATGTATGGGGATTTTCTTCTTTTCTTCTACAGACAAAGATGGCCGCCGGTTAGTCAGAGATACCAAGTTGCTCCAGAATACCCAACCATTCCTTCTATTCGTGACTCTTGCAGGTCAAGAAATGTTTGTAATATCTAAGGAGTCGTTTCATTGTTTCATTTTCCAAGTATTGATTTTAGATTGGGAGGAAATTATGATTAATCATGCATCAATTCCAGCTCCCATTCATAACTATTACTGTGACTGTTGTTCTTGAAAATACTTCATCTGCAAGGCAAGGCAAGGCAAGTTTATTTATATAGCACATTTCATACACAGTGGCAATTCAAAGTGCTTTACATGGAAGAAATTAAAATAATCAAAAGAAGTCAGAATAATTAAAACAGTTTAGAAAAAAAAATCATAATAATAAAAATAAAATACAGTGTCGAAAATAAAATGTATAGTACAGTCGGACGAACAGTGGCACAGTGCTCATTCAGTAAATGCAATCAATATAAATAAAAACAGTTAAGAGTAAAAATAAAATAAAGTAATACCCCTATCTGAGATGGAAGAGATTGAGCTGGTTTACGGTGCAACTGGGCCTCCAGCCCAGGGACTTCTTATATTCTCGGCAGTAACTTACTTCTTCACTCGCCTCATCGGAGTGAAGACTCTCCCGCTCTCCATCAAAATCTCTTCCAGTATACCCCTATATGAGGTGGAAGAGATTGAGTTGGTTTACGGTGCAACTGGACCTCCAGCCCAGGGACGTAGAGCGTCGTGCGTACTGTGTTGGGGTGGTGCTACACCAGTAATGCCCAGCGGGGCCCCCACAGAGCACTTTTCTCCTCTTAATGACGCAGAAACTTAATTGGCTGCAAATAAATGTATTGGTGTGATTAGAATGTAATTTTCAGTTACATCAAAAAGTAATGTGATTACATAATGTATGTGTTACAATGGGTTGCAGCAAGAATGAAAAAGGATCCACGTGCAGCAGCTTTATTTAAAGATTAACTCAAAGGATCACAGGTACAGGAACAGGACAACCAACTACATGTAACGTTTAGAACTGACAAAGAACAAGTCAGAACACATGATTTAAGTAGACAGAACTGAAGAGCAAATTAACAGCCAGGGGGCGGAGAAAGACAGAACTGAACTGTAATGAATGTTGAATATGTAATGAATATGAAATGGGGTTCTCCCAATACTGTTCATTTCAGGTGAGAATGAAAAAACACCTGATCCCTAGTTTCTCAACAGTCTGAAAACATCAGTCAGTGTAGATTTCAGTCTGAGGGTTTCTCAGAGAGGAGATCTACGGTATAAATTTGTCGTTTATGAACATAATCTGTATTATCAGCTAATAAGGGTAAATCAAAATACTCTATACTGGATGGACCGTGAGCATTTTCTCCATTGTCTGAGTTGGGTTTCCAGAGAGTTGGACCTTCACCGGTTGTAGAGATATTTGATGGAATCATGTCCTCATTCTGAAATCACAGATGGGAACAAACTCAATTGAGTTTGTAATAATTTAATCTGTATTATATTTTTGTATATATTTTACAGTTTTCACTTGATTTGATATCATTTTATTCAGTGGTTTGATAAATACACACAGTATTACTGTGTTATTACAATATTATGTTTATCTCATTCAGTTCGAAACAAAAGCAATTTTAAAATAAAATAATTTTTTAATTACAATATTAATCAGTTTTTTGAACTTATGACCAGCTGTTAAACTGTTTGGCTTTGTGAGTCTATCACTATTCACCCTGTGTTTGTGTATATCTATTTACATGTTGGCTATGCAGCTCCACAGAGTTTACTACAAGCTATTTGTAGCAACATTTTTCTCCCTCCTGTCTCAAGTGCGCAGTCTCTCTTCTCGGTTCCCCCGTTGTTCTTTCCGCCCCTCTCTCTTTTCTATACTTCCTGCTTCTATCACACGGCAAAAGTCAGAGTAGCCTAATTAAAGTCTGTAAATCCAGTAAATTCTCCAGTTATCTTGGCAACCTGCTACAGAGATCAAAATGGCCGACCGCACCATTCCTCATGCATACCCAATGAGTTTGAATTACGAGATGTGTACTCCTCCTCGAATCTATGATCAGAACTTTGCAGAGGGTAAGTAAAATCAGAGTCTTTAATTTTAAATTTCAGGGAAAACATCTTTTGTATATGTGGGTCTATATATTTCTACGTTGCTTGTATTCTGATATTGGCTGGCATGCTTTAAATGTCTTCAGCAGGTCTCATACAGTAGGTCACATTTGATTTTAACAGTTATAAGAAGCAAAAAAATGTGATTGTCTGAATTAAGGGTGGATCTATAGCCAATGACTGTATTCCTCTTACAACGAAATGAACCTCTCACAACAACTTACTGTTTTTAGAATTCCACTCATGACATGACCGATTTAACTCGTTATCCCCATCATAACTGATTATGAACTGATATTTTTAGATCTTTAACAATTCAGCAGCAGATTTGGAAGTCAACTGTGAAGACTCCTGTCTCACAGGCTATAACAGCGTAAGGGTATCACGTGTCTTGTAGGATAAAAATAGACACTGTAAGCAGAACCTTGTCTCGATCTGGCATCACACATTTTAAATAAACTTGACATGCACATTTCCGGTGTCTTCTAGAACACTATTTAAAATTAGAATTTAAAAAGGCAGAGCATTATATTTGAATACAGTTCTTAGGGACTTGATTACACTCAAGAAATGGTTCTATTTAGAACCAGAAATTGTTCCATTCCCCGCTTCATATATGGCACTCCAAAATGGTTCTATATAGAACCATTTTTTTGGTCAAAGGTTCTATTGGCCAAGTACGGAACCACAGGGTTCTATATAGAACCCAGAGGAACCCTTTTTTAACCTTTTAGGGGTTCCAAATACATAGCGCTGATAGAACCTTTTAAGGTTCTATAGAACCTTTTCTTCTAAGAGTGTAGTAGCAAATTGATCCAGGTTAAATGACATGATGCTATTTTTTTTTGTCCTTAATACGGTTACGTTCACACGCTGTTTATTTACGGGAGTGACAACCTCTGTAACCGAATTTTTGGCATGAGTCGCGCCTTCTGAGAGAGGGGAGTAATGGCAGGGTTATTTTCAGTTTTGTCTTTGTTTTCTGAACTTTGTTCAGATTCTGTTTGCCTTTTTTGCTTTGACCTAGTCTTGTTTCACTGGTTCATCTAATTCACCTGTCCCATGTTAATGAACTCCTTTGGTGGGCTTGTTGAGCCCTCAGTATCTGAAAGTTCTTGGTCTTGGCTTGTTTAACGTTTATGGCGAAATGGTGTACAATTCAGTTTCTCCAAGTTATCTCCTTCATGTTTCCTTGTTTGAATCTACAATTAAAGCTTATTATGAGTATCTCCTTCGTTGTGCACTTTGTTACACCCAACCATGACTGTATAGTATTTGAAGTGTCATTTATGTAAAATTTTTGTAACATAATACAATATCATAGATCACTATTTTCCAGAGACACAAAATTATAGTTTTATAGTATAGTTTTGACAGACTAAATCTCACAAATGGCTATTTTTAGATGAAATACCTGCATTGGGGAAAGTTACTTTTAAAAGTAATGCGTTACTCTCTAAAAATGAACCAATGCATTTCACTCTTTTTATTCCTTTTGAGAAATTTTAAATCTGTTTTCGAGCAAATGAGATGAGTAAATGCATGCTCACATTTGGTCTAGAACTACAATAACCATTATGTTCACACAACGCCTCTGCACATTTATTCCCATTTTCTCTCAACATGGGGACAGCAGTCAGTGAATAAATGGGAATACAAAGTAACTTGCGTTACTTTTTTGGAAAAGTAACTTATTTTGTTGTAAATTTAAAAGTAATGCAAGTAATCTGATTAAGTAGGCTAACTCGCGTTAGGCCCAACACTGGAAATGACTCACTTAAAAATGTCTTTATTTTATTTTTATTATTTTAAATGTATTTAGTATGCAGCCTACAGGAAATTATATATTTTCATGCAGAGAAACATATAATACTCTCTCAGTAAAAATGGTACAAAAGCTGTAACTGGGGCTGTACCTTTTCAAAAGGTACACTTTTGTACCCAAAGGCTGCATATTGGTACCTTATTGGTACATATTAGCAATTAAAATGTACATGTTAACACTTAAAATGTACATATTAGCACCTAAAATGTACATATTAGGACATAAAATGAACTTATTAACACTTAAAATGTACATATTAGCTCCTAAAATGTACATATTAACACCTAAAATGTACTTTTTAGCACCTAAAATGTACATATTAACATTTAAAATGTACTTATTAGCACCTAAAATGTACTTATTAGCACCAATGTACATATTAACACCTAAATGTACATATTAAAACTTAAAAAAATACTTATTAGCACCCAAAATGGACAAAAGTTTACCTTTTGAAAAGGTACAGACCATATTTTCTGAGAGTGATACAGTAAATTATATGACAGAGAGGTCAATAATCTTCTTAAAATGACAGATAATTTCACATTTTATGACAAGGCATGGTTAGTTTAGGTTGTATCAGATGTCATGCAGGTGGACTTTTACGATTTAATAATTCATTATGATTTACTGTATGAAGTAAAAATTTGTGCTTGTGAACTTACATTTTTTTTTACATTATTTGAACTACTATGAAACACAAACACAACGACTACATTTTTAAGAACTTGGCATTTGATTTTTTGTATCATTATATGCCTGCGTGACCTTTCAAAGGTTCAAAGTCCGACTTTAATTGCCATTCACTTGCACTTTTCCAAGCAGGAAGGAGGAAATTCTGATATACCAAGTTGAATGGAACGCAGGATAGGCATTAAATATGTTCATATTGGCTGTGATTGTGCCATGCATCATTGTGCAGAGACAAATTACATGTCATTGGAAGCAAGTATTATAATGGTTATGATTCTTTTTGCCCTTCTCACCCTCTCAGCACTGTCTCCCAAGGAGCTGTTGGCCCCTGTCCTATACCACGGTTACTACATTCGTCCCCGCATCAACAAGCAGCTCGAGAGGGGCTTCTCTCAGGTAGACAGTGAAGACGACTGGTATCGAGTTTTGCTGGACGTGTGCCAGTTCACACCAGATGAGATCAGTGTGCGAACTGTGGACAACCTGTTGGAGGTGACTGGACGTCACGCTCAGCGAATGGACCAGCATGGCTTCGTGAGTCGTGAGTTTACCCGCACGTATATCTTGCCAATGGGTGTGGATCCGCTGCTGGTGCAGGTGTCTATCTCACATGACGGGATAATGTGTATCCAGGCCCCACGAAAAACTGAGGACCTGGAGCCTAAAATCAACCAGCTCAAGATTAAAATGGACAGCTAGGAAAGCAAAAGTTAATAGAAGCAGGCCCACATGGAAAGACACCATAGAAAAGTCAACGGAGTTGGAATGCCCAACATTTTGCTTGTTTGTTTATTAAAAAAAAATTGGGGATATTTTGAGTCATTAGTATTTCTCTCAGTTCTGTTCTCTCACAGTTTGCATTCCACTGCATTAGTGCAGATAAAGTCTGCAGATAGTTCTGAGTCTGTATATAGACCATTTCACAAGATGTAAACAACACTGGTCCAGAAGCACTTCCTGTTTCAGTTTTTTAACACTACATAAAAGCTGGGATAAAATACAACCATCAGAACATTTAAAACTGAATCAAAAAGTTAAACAAACATCTTTAAGATGTTTTCTTTACATGTGAAATAAAGAAAACAGTTACAAACCGAAACAGGAAGTGCTTCTGGACCAGTGTTATTCACATCTTGTGAAATGGTCTATACAACACTGATGAAAAGTTTGGAATAATTCAAATGTTTTCATGTTTTTGAAAGAAGTCTCACATGGACAATAAGGCTGCATTACAGAAGAAATACTATATTATAATATTACAAATTCACTGTACACACTGGAATTTTATGATGCACTTTAAATTCCCTCGGGATAAATTTGCTGGATGTGTGGCCATGTGTGTATTTTCACTAGATAAATATTGTTTTGTAATAAACTTTTCTGCTTGGCAGAAAATATTAACACCTAAAATGTACTTTTTAGCACCTAAAATGTACATATTAACACTTAAAATGTACATATTAGCTCCTCAAATGTTCATATTAACACTTAAAATGTACTTATTAGCAGCTAAAATGGACAAAAGTTTACCCATTTTTTAAGTGTACCTTTTTTTCTGAGAGTGATAGTTAACTTATAACTTGCTGGATGTGTGGCCATGTGTATATTTTCACTAGATAAATATTGTTTCGTAATAAACTTTTCTGCTTGGCAAGTATTTATAATGGTCTTGCCTCGGTTTTATGACATCCAGGTATTGTAAAAATGATGACATTTTGAAACCGGTTTCCCCAGTTCATCTGCTTCATGTTGGACAAAAAGATCACCACAAACTTGAGCCATTGTAACGGTGTGTGACAGATATTTTCTACCCTCTTGTGACATACATCTGAGTAAAATGGATTGTGGAAAAAGAAAACTGTGGTCGTTCTAGGTTTTTGATTGGATGGAAGCAGATCTGAATTTGAGTTTACAATCCAAGGCAGAGTTTAGGCAAATTTAAAGGAGTAGTTCACTTTTTAAAAAAACTTTTGCTGATAATTTACTCTCCCCCAAGTCATCCAAGATATCCATGTCTTTCTTTCTTCAGTCAAAAAGAAATTAAGCTTTTTGATGAAAACATTCCAGCATTTTTCTCCATATAATGCACTTTACTGGGAACCAAACGGTTCAAGGTCCAAAAGACACTTTCAGTGCAAACTGCAAACTGTTCTAAGGGCTTTAAACGATTCCAGACGATGAATAAGTGTCTTATCAAGTGAAACGATCGCTCATTTAATAAATAAATAACAAAGTTTAAGTTTTATAAGCTCAAATGGTCGCCTTGCTCTGTTCTGTGATGCGCGTTCGTGACTCTCCTGTTCGAACTCGTTCATCAAAATGAACGGATCTTTTTCAGAGTCATTTGGTTCATTCAACAAACAAAACGAATGAATTGACTCGGAAAAAAGATTCGTTCATTTTGATGAATGAGTTCGAACAGGAGAGTCACGAACGCACATCACAGTACAGAGCAAGGCGAGCATTTGAGCTTATAAAACTTAAACTTTGTTATTTATTTATTAAATGAGCGATCGTTTCGCTTGATAAGACCCTTATTCATCGTCTGGAATCATTTAAAGCCCTTTGAACAGTTTGCACTGAAACTGTCTTTTGGACCTTTAACCGTTTGGTTCCCAGTAAAGTGCATTATATGGAGAAAATCCTGGAATGTTTTCATCAAAACCCTTAATTTCTTTTCGACTTTCCGACATCTTGGATGACATGGGGGTGAGTAAATTATCAGCAAAAGTTTTTTCAAAAATGAACTTCTCCTTTAATGCTTTGAGAAGTCTGCACTGTTAAAAATTACCAGCATTTCACAATAATTAACAGTATTATTTTACAGTAACTTGTTGTGATTACATTTCCCTGTAATATCCCAATGAATACCTGTAAAAACTACAATATCCTTGGATTTTACAGCATTTAACTCTTATTTTACAATAAAACATTGCAATTTAAAACCTGCTGTTATGTCACAGCAAGGTCTGTAATATCACAGCAACACAGTGAAAAAAAATAAGGATTTCACAGCATCAAACAGTATTATTGCAGTGAAATACTGTAGCCTATGCCCTGGGAAGTCACGTGACATAACCGAACTGTTCTACAGGCTCCGTCGTCTCCCGCCGCCTCTTCTATTTCGGGCTTAACGGAGAAGGTGAGCAGTATGCATGTTTGCAGCACTTACACCCATTTTATTTTAATATGATAATATTTACTTTCAAATAAACGTTTATCGCATGACACAGTTCACATTTTGTTAGCAGCTGCCCGGAATTGTTGAAAGTTCTCACAGCATTTACTAATAGTTTGTAATGACGATCGTTTTGCTATTTTCATGTCTATCACCGTTTAGACAAATCTGGTTTTTGTAGAGTTTATAAAATCAGTGATGGGACAAACATTACTATTTATGTGTGCACATTTCTGTACTTAGTCAATGTTATCAGATTAGCAGGGCTAACCGTTAGCTGTTTAAGTTAATAAATTTCTGCGTCCCAATTCACATAACGTTACTACCCGTCCTAAATAGTATTCGAAAACAGAATTAGTAACTTACGTCCCAAATCGCACGTTGAAATAAGTGTTTCAAAGATTATCGGGTGGTCTAACGTTACTATTCCCGGTCAGAATCCGAAGTGTAGATCCGTGCACACCTTGTGCGTTGGACCAGGATTCGGTTAGAACAACAAACACGAGTGAAAAGTGTTAAGAAGCTAACGTTACAGACATGGAGGACGCGCGGGCCCGCGGTTATGTAAGGTTTAGATAAAGAGGTTTAAGTGATATATTATCAGTAGAGCTGCCAACTTTTGACTTTAGGGGGATGAGGGCGATTTGGGGGGTGGGTGGGTGGGGGGGGGGTAGGTCTTTTGGGTTAGGGTTAGGCCTTGCTAACACGCAAGGTTAGGTCTTTTGCTCGCTTACCTCTGCTTGTCGGACATAGAGACAGTTACTAAGGGGGGCGGGTCTTTGCAAAGGGTCAATTACGTGAAAGTTGACAGGCCTGTGAGGAAAATTAATTTATTCAATGTTGTCCACATTATATTGCATCTGCAGCAGCTTTGTGAACTTTTGTAAAGATACGTTTAGCCATAACCTTGGATCATTATATTGAAATTGCAAACACGAGGAGAGTATCCGCATGAAAGACCCACGACTGGCAGATGGACGTGCTCTCCGAAATGGTAGGACATCAAATTAGATTGAATGGAGGATTTTAATTGTGACGAGATGATTGACAGGGCAGTTAAAGGTGACACAGGCACGCGATAGAGCCGTCCGTTAAAGATGACGTGATGGTATGTCCCAAAGCTTGTCTACTCTTTAGCTACACACTCAAAAGTATTTTTTATTTTTTTTCACAAAAAGAGTAGATACTTTTTGGGTGTAGTATAAGTGAATTGTGACGCAGCAGGGTTCCCACTTGTCCTGATATGAATGAATAATAATTGTAAAAGTTGTAAATGCACTTTACGTTGAGTGAGCAATCTCAAAGTGCCACAGAAAAAAAACACTATTCCACTATTATTTTTGACATACGGCTAAAATGAAATTACAATGGTCAATGATCTGCATTTAAACTGAAATTCTTATTGTTGGTTGCCTTTGTATAATTTCTCCTTTTTCTTTTCTTTTCTTGCCAGGTCATCAGAGGGCGAGGCTAACCATCCTGTTCAGTGTGAGGTTAAGAGTGAGGAGAAAATTAATTGATTAGGTTGGTAACTAGTTAACTTGCACCTTAATGTTCAGCTGTAAATGTGTTGGCTGTGAGCATGTGTCTGAAAATGTGTGTAACTATGTTCAGCACACAAAACTGCATAGCAATGCCCCCAATTATCACTACCAGTGTGGGGTGCCTGACTGCTCACGGAGGTACAGCAAACACACAGGGCTACAAATTCATATGTATAGGCAGCATAGGTCCTACCTGCTGGCTGCTGGGCCTATACTGCCTGGCACATCAGCTCTACCACCTGACACACCCTTGAAATGTCTGCTTGAGGCTTGTGCATTTAAGTGCGACACTTTGGCCTCTCTTATTAAGCATTTGAAGATGCACATTAGGGGAGGAATGATAACTAAATGTCCATTTAGAGGTTGTGATTGCACGTTCACACATGTGATGACTTTTGCTTCACATATTTCCAGAAAGCATAGGTGTGCAGAGGATTCAGTTTTAGATGACCTTTTTTTAGACAAGTCTATTGCTACAGAGCCGTTGCCAGGACCCAGTCAGTCATATTCAGAGGCTGCCGAGGAACATAATGAACCACAAATGCCATTAGCTGTCGATGAAAACCTATTTTTACAGAACCTTACACTTTTCTACCTGAAATTGCAATCTAAGCTACTCTTACCAGTAACCACCATTCAAACCATTATTGATGGCTTTCAAAGTGCTCATGAACTTGGCCTGTCCAATTCTCTAAACATTCTGAGTGAGAAACTAAAAGAACTCGGAATCCCTCAGGCCACAATAAGCAGCATCACTGAGGAAATGAACCGAGATGATCTACTAACACTCTATAACAGGGGAATGCTCAGTACAGATGCAAAGAGGAAGGCTGCTTTTAAAGAGAATTTTAACTATGTTCATCCCGTTCCTTTGCTCTTGGGCAATGATGAAAATGACAAAGAATGTTTTGCTCAGTATGTTCCTATACAAGAGACATTGGTGACACTTTTCAAAAATGAGTCTCTACGTGAACAGTATACCTTGACACGTTTGCAGCCATCTACTGATGGTGTCTATCAGGATGTCAAGGATGGAGAAGGCTTTCAAAATAATCCAATGTTGAAAGCTGACCCTTCTTCA